GTTTGAGTAGAGCCTTTGTCAACACATTCATCCAGGAAGAATTTATCAGCAGATCCAAGGTCGTTGTCGGGGAGATCCAGATTCTGTAATCAGTTGTTTAAGGACAGAAGAGAAGCAGATAACAACAATTTTCCATCTGCTTTAGAGTTCTAGCTGCCACTCTCAAGGTCACGGTCCCAATCAGACAAATGGTGTGGACAAAATTCCGCCGAGCCGAAATTATCAGATTCCTCCAAGATCAGTTACATCTGGCCAGCAAAGTCCAGGGACCGCAGCCGGCCCGCAACCCTCAATAGAACCGCTTGCAGACTGAGTCCAGCTCGCTCAAGGCAAAATGTCCAAGTTCTGATAGAATCCAGCCACCCATCATATTGGTCAGGCAGCCAGGAGATGAACAGCCACCGACGCTGTTTTGTAGAAACACCAGGAGACCACCCAGCCAATCTGTAGAATCCAGTGATCAGAGTCCAGATATAAACCAGAACAGAGAAGAACAGAGGTCCCACCTTTGACATGTCCTCCCATGGAAGAAGAAAAAACTTTGTTCCAAAAATTTTATTGAGAGACCAGCTAACCAAATCCATAAAAATATCCATGATTTCTTATTTCGGATGAAAATGTAGTGAGGCTCCAAGCAGCAAAGCAGGGAAAGATAAGGAAGGGCAGGAGAGCAGGGAGAAGCGTCTTACTCCACCGAGAGCGGAAACAAAACAAAACAAATAAACAAACAAATAAACAAACAAAAAAGTGTTGGTGTTTGTTGTTTTTTTTTAATAAAGTGTGTGTGAACATCATTGTCTGGCACCCATTAACAATCAATGCAGCTTTTTGGTATGTTTTTATTTATTTATTTATTTTTTTGCTTGTTAACAAAAATAACATTAAAACTAAATCAAAAACATTTTCAATCACTACCAGATCATTCAACATCTTTGTTTAAAACTCTGGCCTGCAAGGCAGCGGATAACATGCATTTCTTTGAAAAATGTTGCTTTTTAATCAAAATCTGAATCCAGATAGCAAGATACGTATGAGTGAATCAACATTGAAATATGGTCAGGCATGATATTGAAATAATACAAATAATACAAATAATTGGTCGGTGACTTATTTATTTATTTACCAAATTTCCGTCTGGGATCAATAAAGTATTTTTGAATTTGAATTGAATGGAATTTGTTGAAACAATGTTAGGTTTTCAACCATAACTGATACTATATCAATGTTGATTCATGGATGATGCTATCCCTGTTTAATTTTGATTTTAAGATTATGGAAATTAAAATTTTAGACCTTCAGTTAAGAGAAAAACAACTCTTAGAAAAGTTTCATGTTTCATTTGCACAAGTTGCTTAGTTCTGATGTACCAAAATTTTACCAAATTTATTTAAAATACTTGTTTGGATTTTTCAACTTGACTTTTGGACAAAAAAAATCTGAATATATAATATTTTAACAAAAAAATGGTGTGTTGTTCAGACTGTCCCATCTGTGTTTTCAGGTTTCTGGGCCCGTGAAGTGGGTAAAATGATTGGGTTTGAGCACCCCACCATCCCCGTGCACCACCAGTATGTTGTTACTGCCACAGTTCCAGAGGTGAAGGCTCTGAAGAAGGAGCTGGCCGTCATCAGGGACCTGGAGGGCTCCTACTACCTGCGTCAGGAGAGAGACGGTCTGCTCTTTGGCCCATATGAGAAAACAGAGAAGATGGTGCTGCAGGATTCCTGGGTCAGGGACGGAGTTCCTCCAGGTCTGAGAGCTAAGCTTGATAAATGCTGAGTCAGCATTCACACTATGATTTCAAATTCTATTCAAATTCAAATTCAAAAATACTTTATTGATCCCAGAGGGAAATTAGGTGTTGTTATAACTCATTTAACTAAAGACATTGTAGATGCTGATGGTTGTGGGCAGGAAAGATCTTCTGTAGCGTCTGTATTACAACATAATTGAAGAAGCCTCTGACTGAAGACACTTTGTCACAATATGACACTATGACACTATGACAGACTGATGAAGAGGATGGTCAGGGTTGTCCACAGTGTTCTTAAGTTTATGTAAAATCCTTCTTTGCACCATCATCTCCAGAGCTTCCACAGTCGTCCCCAGAACAGAACTCTTCTTCATCAGGTTGTTGAGCCTTTTTAGGTCCCTGGCTCTGATGCTGCTGCCCCAACAGATGATGACAGAAGAGATGACGCTCTCAACAACAGACTTGTAGAAGATCTGCAGCATCTTGCTGCAGACATTGAAGGATCTCAGCTTCCTTAAGAAGTACAGTCTGCTCTGATGCGAAAGATGTGGAAAAAAGCTAAGAGTCTGGTTATTTAAAGACAAATAATTGGCATTGTTGCCAATATTTTTTATTGTAAGATTTTACTCTGTGATAAATTTGCCCTAATAATAAATAGAATGTCTCCATCTACGTCAAACAGCTGTGGGG